AAATGGACCTCAAATCCTCAGTATGATACCTCTTCATGTCCATTGGCAGAGCTACACCTGAAAAGATAGGCAGAAATGAGTGTCTGCAAAACTGTGGAAAACTCAAAATTCTTGTGTTTCTGTTGGGAATGTAAAATAGTACAGGACAGGACAGCCACTTTGCAAACTATGTTGGCGGGTTTTCATAATGGTAAATAGCGTAACCATATGACTTGGAAAACCCACTCTCAGGTATATCCCCAGGAGAAATAAAAACACACACACCAACTAAGCTGTGTATCCAGATGTCTGCAGCAGAATATTCCATGATAAACAAAAGTAGAAAAAAGCTATACCCATCAGCACACAGATTTACAACCCAAATATTCCCTAATAAAAACAAATGCAGTAGTACTAGCATGCTACAGAACAGACAAACTTTGAGACCATTACGCTAATCAAAACTTGCTGCAAGGTCATGAGTTCGATCTCTGGAACCAAACATTAAAAAATTAAAAAAAAAAAAAAAAAAAAAAAAAAAACCTTGCTAATCACAAAACACACATGTCATGTGATTCTATCTTTATGATACATCTCCATGGACAAATTTATTTTTAAAAAGTAGATTAGCAGTTCCCTAGGATGGGAGTAGTTGGAAACATATGTAATTACTGCTGCTGTGTACCAGGTTTCTTCTGGAGAGACAGAAAATGTTCTATAATTGGCTTGTGGGAATGGTTGCACAACTTTTTTTCAATGTGCTAAAATCATTGAAGTGAACTCTTTAAATAAATAAACTCTGCAGTATGTCAACTGTATCTCAATAAAGAGTAAGTGAGCATTACAATCCTCTATGGCCTAAATATAGAAGCTTATCCCATCAAATTTCCAGAAACAGACCTCTAAAAAATTCACCCTAAAAGCCTGTGGACTACATGTCTGAATTCTAGGAGGCAGAAAATATTGTTGTCCATCTTTGAAGCCTATGAGAACTTTTCTCTTTGATACTAGAAAAGTAATTAATAATTGAGTTGTCACTATCTCTATGTGACATATTACTGGAAGTAGAACCAATCACTTAAAACAGCCCAAAAATCATATAAGGATAGAACAAGAAAAACTAATCTTTCATTCTCTGTAAATGAAGTGAATGTGCTCACAGAAAATACATTATGCATTTATATATATGTTAGAGGTAAAAATAATTGCTAAATATAAGTTAACATGAAGAAATAATCCTATCATTATATGTGTGAGTTTGAACATTAAATTTAAACATACAATTTAAACAAGATGCAGAAAATGTGACTCAGGAATCTATATGTAAGAAATTATGTAGAAAATATTATAGACAATTATAAAGCTTTATTAAAGAAATCTTAAGTACACCCACATAAGTAGAGAAATATTCCTTGTTCATAAATCAACATGGAAAGAAGCTAGTTTCTAGTTTTTGATCTTCAATCTCTTTTCTACCATTTTCCCAATCTAAAACACATAGTTCTATTAGGTAGGAAGGTTTATTTTAGAGTTATATTAATTTAAATAACAAAAGTGAAGTATTGTAAAGTAGACAAACAGACCAATGGAACAGAATAAAATGCCTAGAAAAATGATCCAGGGATTAAAAAAGACAGCCACTTCTGACAGAGTTGTCATTTTAAATCATTAGGAAAGTATACACTTTTTAATAGATATTTACAAAACTGCTGGATATTTCCAAGGGAGGAAGGAAAAAAGGAAGAGGAGAGAGGTGAAGATTATCTCGTCTTAGGCAAAAGACATTCACAGGTGAATTAAAGAAGTTAATCCAAAAAAAATTAAATTATAACGATTTTAAATGGTAACATAGGAGAAATCTTCATTATCTCAAGAAAGGAAAGACTTTATTGATTAAAAAGAAAACAGCATCAATAAGAAATTATATTGTATCATTAAAAGATAGCACAAAAATCAATATAAAAACAGAGAATCTCTTTCAATGTATTTATTGATTTGTTTTTCTCTAACCTTTACTCGTAGTTGTCAGCAACACCTAATGGATATGTTCCTTACGGGCATCGATACATACACAGATCACGTCTTGACCCTTCTGAGCTCCCCCTGTCACTCCTGTCCCTTCTGTCTCCCCCACTTCCAGAAGTCCGTTTCCATGTTCACAAAGTCTGCCTCACACAACCGACAGCACACATGTCCAGAGTAAAGTAAAACAGAACATACAAAGCAAAATGAGTAAAAGACATGCATTGGCATTTCACAAAAGCAGGAACCCAGATGATTAAGAAACTTATGAAAAAGTGCTTGATCTCACAGGCAGTGAGGAAATGCAAATTAAAACCACAGCAAACTAGCGCTAAACCACAGTAAGATAGCACCAAATTGCCACAAATCAAAACATCTCAGGATAACGTGAACTTCATGAAAGAAATCAGGCTGAAAATAATACATATAATATTGTTGTAATCAAGAGTTGTGAGGAAAATGATTACAATCAGGACACAGAATTTATAGTATTATTTTATGATGGTCACCCAGAGTTAAGCACAAGAAAGTGCAGGAAATCTGTCCACAACACTAAAGACCCAGAATATTCAGCCAAGAGCCTGGATCCCACAGCCATGTCCTGCATGAGTCTAAGCTGAAGAACTAGAATGCATGACAATGCCTCCCACAAGTCCAACTGGAGATCTAGAGCTCATGAGAAGGACTCATGCCAGTCTCTTTTACAGATCTGTGTTAGAAAGGCCCAAAAGTCAGTGCTGGAAACCAGAAAGTCTATGCAAATGACATGAAGGAGATGCGCCACTAGGTTGAGGGTTCTACATTGGGGCTGAGAAGTCATGCTCAGAATAAAGACCAGGGCTGCCCTGAAAAGTACCACAGATATACTCAGCTACAAGGAAGTCCCAAGCTCTGTCCAACCATGAGAACAGTGAAGAACATGCCAGAAAGCCAGCGTGACAAACCTCTCCTGGAGATTAAACAACACACATCTTCCCCTCTGGAGCCAGGAAGCTATGTATGCTCCATGTAAGGAGCAGAGCTCCCCTAAAGTGAACCACAGCCAGTCTTAGCAACAAGGTCCTAAGCTCCTTCGATAATAATGACTGAATTCATATCAGGAAGCCAGCATGACGAGCTCCTCCAGGTGAACCAATGGCTCCAAACAGCAACACTCAGGAGAACCCACATGCCTAGCTTCATCTTCTCCAAATCTTTTTTTTATTTAACTTTCCTTAGGTGGGCCATCTACACTCAAGCACCATGCTGATTTAATTTAGCTGGTGGTAAATTGCCACCAATTTTTAATCCATAACAAATATTATATTTAATCCATAACAAATATGATACTATGATGAAATATATATATATATATATATATATATATATATATATATATATATATATGTACTTTTTAAGAGTTGCATTCACAAGTAGAATATAATTCCAAAAGGGAACAGGCTAAGAGAATCTCTAATTTCAGAATGGGATTGTATTCATTGAGGAGTACTGTGAGGAAAGTGCTGGCACTGTTTTGTTTTTATTAACTTTCCTGTTAAAGAAATAGATATTGGTTGTATAATTATACATTAAACTATGCATATGTTTATTCTTCTGCACTTGTGTTATATTATACCATAAAAGAAAAAAACAATTCTGTGAGATACAAAATTTACCTCCTTTTTGAGGTTGAGCACAGGGTGGGGAGACCAGTGGCCATAAAGGTATTCACAATTTATTCTTAAATTGATGCTGCTTGCCCATTTGCTCATTATAATATTACAAATTACATCTTTTATATATGTTGGGTATATAATTTTATATCTAGGAATTATTTTATAATTAAACTTTAAAGATCCTAACCTAGAAAAAAATCAAGTGCATAGCATAGCCCGTGGTATAAAAAAAAAAAAGCACTAAAAATAATTAACTGTTAGTATAAATTGGTGATTAAAAAATCATTTGGCTCAAAAACAGGGGTCAGCAAACTGTAGTCGGAGGCCAAATCTGGCCGCCATCTGCTAAGTAAATGGTGGTGAGACAGAAATGATTTTACATTTAAAATAAGCGGGGAGTTGGAGGGGTTACAAGAAGAATAGTGTTGTGACATAAAAATTGCATGAAGTCCAACTTTTAAGCATTTACATAGAAAGCTTTATTCTAACACAGCTAAACCCATATTGCCCACGCCTATTGTTTCTAAAATGGTGGAGAGTGTGTGAGTGTCGTCCACAAAGCCATATTTCCCCACTGGTCTTTTACAGAAAAACGTAAGCCAGCTTGTTCTAAACAACACTTTTCCCTCCCCTGCTGCAGGCCAGTTGCCTGCTGTACTGAGGAGCCAGCTATGGCAGTGGCTCCCCCTGGACTCAGCTGTTTGAGGAAGAGCCCTCCTCCTGCCTCAGAGCAGCTTGCATGAAGGAGAGAGAACATCGTGTGTGTGGCAGGGGCTGTTGTGCCTGTCTATTCCAGCCTTCACTAACCAGGGCAGGCCCCTCCCAAAGCCCAGGGTCCTCTCTGAGAGCTCCATAAACCTAAACCGCTTCCTGCTGGAGATTCAGCTGCATGGAGACTTAGCACAAGTTGAAAACTAGGAGAAAGACCGAGCTCTAGTTTTTAATTCTAACTTCATACTTTATCAGATATGCAACTACAAGGCATGTGCATTAATAATTATGGGTTTCAGTCTCTTTGTCCACAAAATAGGATTAGTACGATCTGCTTCAAATAATTTTTTATGGGAATTAGGGATACTATGTGCAAAAATCTCTGCAAATAACTAGCATTCAATTAAAATAAGCTATTAATATTCATAAGTACCCATTCAGATGGTATTAAGAGAAAAGATTCCAACTAGACTCTGTATTACTTACTACATTTTAGTTCTAAGTCCTTAAAGAATTTTGAAACCAAGAAGTGGTGTAAAAGTATAAATAATTAATTGAGAAAGACAGAGCCAAGAAGTCGCTAATCAGCTCTTTTATCTTCTAAGGGATTTACCAGGCCCATTTCCAACTCACCTCCAAATTCAGTTGTACAGGAAACCCCTAGCCACTTCGGCACCTGTGGCTCAAATATCTTCACTCATTTTACAATTTTCAGTCATCCTCCTTGTGTCTAGGGTATTACGGGGAGCAGTCAATGTCCCGGCAAGTTACCATGGGAATGGAGTGGTCTTTGGAAACAGCCCCAGTGTGAAGACGATTCCTTGGCTGGTGACTCACCTGTTAGAGCCATTCAAGAAGAAAGACCATTTCGACCTGAAGCATGAAAGATCAAGAGCCCATGCCATCACTTGTTTATTCATATTAAAATCCTGATAATTAGAATAAAACATGAATATCTGAGAGTTAGAATGACTGTAATTAAGGCAACACCGAATTCAGTTTCCTTTCAAATTAACTAGTTATAAAATTAGATTATTACTGTATTGAAACGTGGCATAGCAAATTACCCCTCTCACTAATTCTTGGTATCTTACGTTAGGAATCCTATTTAAAGAGAGTAGAAGTAAGTCAGAAAATTATTGAAACATTATTTCAAACAAAGCAGGACATTATGTAGAGAAAATTAAATTCCCTGTTACTGTGGAAGTGGCACATAAGGAGATAAATTTGCAGATCTGGAAGGGTCGTGTAGCCCTGCCCTATGGCATAGTCAAGTGTCTCCCACAAAACTGTTGTTTTGGTCAGTTTGCAAGTGCCTACGAACTGAGTCCTGGCATTACGATTCTTCTACATCTGGTCTCCCTCAAAGGAGCCCATAAAGAAACACAGGCTTCCTTTGAATGTCTTTTTGTATCTGATGGGTCAAGGAAGAACTGATGGGCTTCATGGAGCCCACAAAAGTCTAAGGAAAAATAACATTTGGAACAACATTAACAATAATCAGCAGGTTCCTGGGGTCACACTGTGCAAGATTCGGACAGGTTTTTTTTTTTTTTTTTTTTTTTTTCATTTAATCTATAAGACAACCCATAGTATCCTAAAAGTGCTCCTGTTCATACATGAGAAAACTGCAGCTTAGTGAAGTGAAGAGAATTCCTCAAGTTTCCACAGCCAGCAAACAATCCTTTCGGATTATCACCCAAACATACACTTTGTCTGTATCCTATCCTTCGCCCTCTGGTTCTCATCATCGATTTCCCTGCTACACAGTCAGTCTCTACCTTATCACACATGATGGTTTTATTTGGTAAATGCATCTTCAGTTAGTCATTGGATATTCTCCATCCAAGTTTGCTCTGTTTTGTTTCAATTTTCCATGTGATCTCTAACTGCAACACTATTGATTTCTGAGTTCTTGCAGAGCGTGGATGGGCCTTATGGAATTTTCCTTCAGTACCAGTTAACATAATGTCACACACCAAGAGATTAATCAAACAAGTTTTCTGTCCAACTTGGTGTCTTCATGCCATTTAGGAAATGGAGCATGGTTTAGGGACAAGAGAAAGATAATGAGCCTGTCTTCTGTCCAAGCGATGTAGAGTGGCAGTCTCCTGTGATGTCCTTTGAACCAGCAGGAAATAGATGGCTTTTAATTCATTAGGGAAATCTCCTATGCCTACAAGTTCTGTCCAAGGCACCTGCAGTCCAGATCTAAGGTTGGGTTCTGGCTTCATAACTTATATTATGTGTGTAGCCTTGATCAAGTGCACTAAGCCTACCTAGAGTTCTCCTATTTAAAGAGTCCCACTGGCGATTTTATGTTCTGTTTTCTGGCTCTGTCTTGATCCATTACACCACTGTGGCTGACCAGGCACTGATGGCCCCATCAGCTTTGGCCACATTCTGCATTTTGCCTGGTGTCTACACTAAACATCAGTCATTGGAGTGGTGATAGAGACATCTCACAGCTGGACTCAGTATCTCCCTGACCATCCCAAGGGCCCTGAAATTAGTCACTTCTGATTTCCCTGCCAAACATTCAGCTGCCTACAGAGACAGAGGCCCAGGCAGTTGGATTCGAGTCTTCTCTGTACTCAAATGGGCTGCATCTCTACATTCGCTCTCTAACTACATTTGCTCTCTAACGTCCAGTGAGGGTATGAGATGAAGCTGTGGAAGGAGGCACAGGCTCCCCACACACTGTACACAAGGAGGGCACTTCTTTTCTGGGCTTCAGCTCTCCCCTGAACTCACCTGACTCTACCTTCCAGAATTTTCCAAAAAGAAGGGATACAAATATCGAAAGGCATGCTTTGCACATGCCTGCCTCCCTGGGCTGTCTCCCTCTTCTCTTGAAACTGGAAGGGCTCCCATCCTTCCTCATCAGTAGCGGTGACATCCATGTTGGGTCCTCCTCAAGAAGTGTCTGTCACCTCACCCTTCCTAAGGGTCCCAATCCCAAATGAAGAGCTGGAGGAATGGGTGGGAGAGGGGAGTAAAATTATCATGAATTTGTTATTTTATTATTCTCATTTCATACTTTTTTTCACTTAATAATCATGGCAGCCCAATGAAACAAGCAGTCTCTTGCATTTCAAAAGGAAACTGAATCCTAGAAAAATTAATTCTCCTGTCTCTGTCACATAGTAATTGACTACTATTTGTCTGACTACAAAAACCTTGTTTCTTCCACTCCACAACCCCACTGCACACTACTGAAGATACTTAACAGGGACCAACAAGCCCTTCCATGTCTTGTTTTGGGTTAATTAAGACTTCACATAGGAAGGAGGACTGGGTGGCCTCTCAGGTCTTTTTAAGACTGAAATTCAATGGTTCTCCATTTCTGCTTCTCTGTTATGTGGTGCAGATTCCAGTGACTATTTTTTTCTTTTTCATCTTCCCTTCAAAGAACGTCTGAAAAGCCTGAAGTAAGTGAATTGGGCCCCTTTAAAACTCTCTGAAGAACCCTACAATTGCATCATGGCAGTCACATAATAGTCATGAGAGGAGGTTTTCTCCATAATTCACTCAATGCACCAGAGCTGGACACGAGATACATAATTTATACAGGCAATTACACATCAATTGGTTATTAAAAGTGCCCTCATTGAGATGTACCGTATTGAGGATGCAGAGATAAATCTGGTTCCCCAGGTAACCAGCTCCAGCTCACAGACAGAAGGCAAATTTTCTGATTTTGGATTGGCACAACTTCTCTTGACCCTGCTATTCTCTGTGCCTACCGCTTGGTGCTCTGCCTGCGCGTGGGTGGAGGAACACAGCAGCAGCCAGAAAAAAAAGCTACAGTAGGAAAAGCAGCCCTGTACTTTTCTTGGAGCTCTTTCCTCTTAGGAAAAATAATTATTTCCCTAATTAATGAGACATTCACCCAAGAACTCAATCATTCATCAATTCATCCATCTGAACAGTAAGTAGTGACACTAACCTCGGTGCTAGACACTGGAGGAGCCGTGAGGATAAAAGGATGCCATCTCTCCCTTTGAATTGCTGGCTGTTTAGTGAGGAGAAACACAGGCAAACAAATAATTGCAAATATTTTGAAAAGTGCAGAAATACAAATGAAAAGTGATGGAGAGAGTCCTTTGTTCTCTCCAGGGCAGCTGGGAGAGGCTTTCACATAAAAGATCAGTGACAAGCAGAGACCTCTGATAATAATGAGAGTTCACCAGAGAGTGAAAAGGCAGTCTACAAAGACGAACAAAGGAGGTGTAAAGGCGCACTGTTTTCCATCTAATTAAGGATGTAATGCATGTCTGGGGGAAACAATTCTACAACACACTCTTGCTTTTATAACTCTGGTCAAAAAAAAAGTGGTGGGTAACAGTTGAGTGATTCTTCTGTTAACAGTGTGAATTGGTTGTTGAGGAAGTTGTGCTTGTTATTGTTGTCATTGTGGTATTCTTAAATTTTATTTTGTTTTTAATTGACACATCGTAACTCCATAGTTATAGAATACATCATGATGTTTCTACCCATGTGCACATTGTGTAATGAGCCAATCAGAGTGTTTGGCATGTCCATTGCCTCAAACATCTATCACCTCTTTGTAATGAAAATATATACAATGTCTTGTAGTCATTTTGAAATACATGGCATGAGAGAGTTTCCTTTTTGTTTTGTGTAAATACAAAATTTTATTTAGCAAGCCTAGAGCCAAACCGATGAATTCTTAAGCTCTCTGGGTGATTGTTTTGGAAATGGGATCAAGACAACATCGAAGGAAAACCGGGTCACTGTGAGACTATTCCCTTCCTGAGTTCCCTCTTTATGCCCGAGCTGGTTCCTGAAGGCCCCTTTTACACATCAGCTCCCAAGCAGTTTGCTTAATGTCATCTAGTCCATTGTATCCCCAGAAGAGCCTATGTTTTTCCACTTGTGTTTAAGATTTGGGAAGATGCCCGGATACACTGACAGTCCTTTGGCACCGGCTCCCAAGGAGCTTCCTTAGAAAAATGGAAAGAGTGACTCCAGAGACCAGGCACTGCCAATGTGCAGAAATGCAACCACTTCTGTCTGCACTGTGCAAACATCACTCAGGTCTCTGTGGGGGCAGATACCAGCCCAGTGGGTTGGATGTGTTGTAATAAAGAGGAACTTCCCTCGGTGAAGCTCAGTGCATAAAGTGTAACAAAATGGCACTGTTCACTGTCCAATCTGTGAACAAAATATATTAAACACTTCTGCACTTCTGGGAACACAGGTAGTTTTTATAACCCTATCAAGGAGAGGATAGCATGCAAATAATGCAAAGAACAGCTGCAGTCATTTAATAATCAATTGTCTAGTTGCCCTGATAAAATCTTTAATGTCCTCAAAGGCAATTTTTAGTGATGATATCATTTCTTTAAGTACACAGAAGTAAGAAATTGTCAAGAAATCACCTCTCCCCCCAAAAATCTTACTTATCTCCTAGGAGCTGTTGCTATGAAAATGCATTATTTCTATCTTATTCACCCCTTGGTTTTGTTGCTCATCAAAGCAAGAAGAGAGAAATTAACATTCATTGAGTGCTTGTTAGAAGACAGTCGACAAGCTAGATGTTTGTTGTGTGTGTTATTTCATCTTAGCTGCCCAAAGACCTGGGAAAGTTAAGATTACTGGGATTCACTAGAGATGTAGAAACTGAGTTTCAAGGGGACATAAGCACCTTACCTGGGTACCCCGCACAGAGTACGTGAAACAGCCCAAATTACCTAGCCTGTGTCTTTCTCTGACATGTTGCCATCTTCATAAGTGGCTTTGCTGGGCCATGTCACACAGCACAGTTAATCTAGGAAGACAGGAGGATTTGCAGGTCCACTGTACTCATCCTACGTGTCTATTGTGTGATGAGAACAAGGAG